GGGTGGATCTGCCTGGGGGGGACGAGGAGGGGGCATTCAGCTCAGCCCCCGGGTCGGGGGGGGGTCCCTGCGCCCCCTCCTCACCCACCCAGCAGCGCATGATGTCCCAGAGCACGGCGGGCGGCGCGTCCGTCTTCACGGCATTCTTGCAGGCGTGGGAGAGCGAGACGCGGTAGCCGGCGTGCAGGAGGGCAGACCTGGGGCGCAGCGGGGGACGGGGGCGGAGGATTCACGGGGTTGGAGCCAGAGGAAGGGACGTTTGGGGAGCCCAAGCAGGAGGGGCAGGGGAGCCGAGGTCCCCCTGGGGCTGGGAGGGCTTGGGGTGCCCCAGCCCCAGGGAATTTGGGGTGTCCCTACCTGAACTGCAGCAGGGAGGGGGTGTTGCAGTGGATGGTGCTGCTGAGGCTGTCGAGGGTGTAGTAGAGGGGGACGTCGCCGAGCTCCTGCCCTCGGCACACAGGGAGCGGCAGACTTGGTGCCAGCCCCAAAATTCGGGGGGCGCTCAGCTCTGCCAAGAGCTCGGGAGGCCGCAGCCGTCCCCAGGGCTGGTCCCCTCCCCGTCCCAGTCCCCGTCCTGGTACCTCGGTGATGACGCTGAGCATCCCCTGCATCCGCTCCTCCGTCTGGAAGCGCCCGGGGCTGCCCTCCAGCGCCGGCTCCCAGCCCGTCACTGTCGACCTCCTGGTGAGCTGCTGCGCGCCGCGGGGCTGAGCCCGGCCAGGAGCCGACCCCGTGGCCGGGCTCCCCCCAGGCTCGAGGGGCTCCCCGCTCCCGTGGCCAATCCCCGGTCCTGGAGGGGATCCTCCCCACAGGGGCAGACGTGGGGTGGTCGCTGACGGCTTTTCCCCCTCTCCCAGCACCTCTTCTCGGCTTTCACCATCACCTCAGTGCAGGAGATGAGCCTGGGAGCCGACCTGCCAATCAGTGCCATCTCCCGCCTGGTCTGGACCCCAGAGACAGGTACTGGGGGGGTCCTGGGAGGTACTGGGGGGGTCCTGGGGGGCTGCCAGCCTCCCCTCACCCCTCCCACCCTCTCCTAGGTCCGGCCAAGCCCCGGCCAGGCCCCAGGCTGGACCCGAGCCAGGTCACGCTGCAGCCCATGGAGATCAGGACCTTCCTGGCCACAGTGCAGTACAAGGTGGCTGGCACTGGCCCGGGGGGGCCGTGAGCGGCCCTGGCTTGACGGGGGGCTCTGCCCTAGCCCCCCCCGCCCCGGCAAGTGCATTAAAAAGCATCAGACTTTCCTTAGGCACGATTTAATTGGGGCGAGAGGCGGCGTCAGGGTGGGGGGGCGGCCGGGGGCTCCCCCTCGTGCGAGTAACAGCACTGGGCCCCCAAGGAGCAGTTTCCCTGCGGGAGAGGAGGCGGTGAGGGGGGTGCCCCCTGCCCCAGGGCTGCCCCCCCTGGGTCCCGGGGTCCCCCCTTGTTCCCGACCCACCTCCTTGAAGCGTTTGCAGGGGAAGTGTTTCAGGCTGGTGCTGTCGTCCGTCCGCTCCGTCCGTTTGTTCTGGTGTCGTTTCCGCTTCTCCTGGAGGGAGGGAGAGATGCCACCCCTGGCAGAGGGGTGTGGGGTGAGGGGGGCGGAGATGCCCCCCTAAAGGGAGAGAACAAGGGACCCTTCCCTCTCCCTGCTTTTTTTGGGGTCCTTATCCTCTGTCCTGGCGAAACAGGGGGGCTCTGTGAGAAGGGTTGAGGGTGGCTGCTGGAAGCCCAACCCCAAAATCAGACAGCCGGGAACCCCCCCGCCCTTACCCAGCCTTGGCCCTGGCTTTGGGACCCCAAAAGGCCTCGGGGTTTTCCGGGAACCGCTTCAAGCCCCGTTTTCTGGAGCTGGGGTTGGCGTCATCACGGAGGGCGAAGGAGGCCTGGAGCCTGTGGTGGGGGGAAGGGGGGGGTCAGGATTGTTTGGGGGGATCAGCGGGACCCCCCCTGTCCCTGCGTTGGCCACAGGGGGCTGCGGCAGGGGGAGACGGGGGCGCGCCCGGGGGG